AGGCGTTTTAGGAGGGCGTGGACGAGTCTTAACTTTTATAAAGAATATCTCTTTGGGTTTGAGACTTTAGTCTTTGCAACTTTAGGGATCTTATCTATTCACGAACAGCTTGTAACACTCCAAAGAGAAAGGAAAACTTGAAATTGCATCATATGACCCCTTTAATTATATCATCACCCAGCTCTAATCTGCTAAATGCAACTTTAAGACTTGAATATGTTAAGATATTATAAACATTAACATCATCATTTTCTGTAAAACTGCGTTGAAACAATGTGTTTGGTGAAAAGCTCTATATAAATAAATTTGATTTGACTTGCCAAAGAGGGATAATTATTTTTAAATAATGCAATGTTTTTAAGGCCTGGTCCTGTGAGCAGATCTGTGAAATAGTAAACAGCACAGCAGCAGGCAGTGTGTGTGTGTGTGTGTATATGTGTATGTGTTGTCGGGTTGTTTATCTTAGTGGGCGCCTCCTCTCACTTTCAGTTTCTTTCTGAGCGAGTTTGTTTTGTGTGTGAGAGTTTAATCTCAGTGGGACTGAGGTTAAACTTGAGACTGTTAGTGCAGAAGTATGTGTGCAGGTTTTGTGTGTGTGTGTGTGTGTGTGTGTTTAAGTGGGATTTTCTCAGCTTTGGAGAATAATAACTCAAGTGGTGTGTGCGCATGAATGCTGTGTGTGGCCTTTTAAGGATGCTGAGATAGAGGAGATCTAATCCTCACTGAGGGTCACATGACCCCTTCTGACTGCCTGAGCTCTGACATCATCATAAACACATACATATGCATGCTCAGCCTGCCAAGTTCACTACGCTCCACAGTAACACACACACACACACACATGTTTAGGAGACTAATTTTACACTGTAAGGTCAGCTTAGTGCAATAGTTGATGTGTTTGTCTCACTTTTTTATTTATGGGTTCAGTTCGTGCAGCTCATCGTTACCAGAAGATGTTTTGCAACTTTGTTCACTTTCGAAACAGCTTTGAGAGAATTTAAAGAATTAATTTGTTAACTTAATAATATATAATTATAAATGCATGTTTCCTGTCCTAGATGCTGATTGGTAAATACAACATTCCAGCAACAATTCAACCTTTGTTTACATGTTATAAACTAGATGTTCTAGTTGGATGGCGACACTTAATGTTAATGAAAAAAGTGTTTCTAGTATTTCTTTTCTGCTATTATAGTATTTCTGTTTTAATTGTTTTAAAAAACTCAAAGGTTTGGGGTCGGTAAGATTTTTTTAATGTGTCTGAAAGAAGTCTCTTTACTCACAAGGGCTGCATTTATTTGAGTAAAAACAGTAATGTTGTGAAATATTTTAGCAATTTAAAATAGCTGTTTTCTTTGTGAATTAAATGTAATTGATTCCTGTGATGCAAAGCTGAATTTTCAGCACCATTACTCCAGTCTTCAGTGTCACATGATTTTTCAGAAATCAGTCTAATATGCGGATTTGATGCTCAAAAAACATTTCTTATCATTATTGATTTTGAAACAGTTGTGCTGCTTAATATTTTTGTGGAAAGTTAAACTGTGATATATTTTTTTATGGATTCTTTGATGAATAGAAAGTTCAAAAGAACATCCTTTATTTGAAATAGAAATCTTTTTTGATCAATTGAATTCATCCTTGCTGAATAGAAGTATCAATTTCTTTAAAAAAAAATCTTTCTAGCCCTAAACTTTTGAACAGTAGTATATCCTGTGAGCATGATTATATATTCGTGCATTAACCATAAACAGTCTAATGAACTTCATGACTTGGTGCAAGAATATTTGTGATGAGTATCTCTCTCTTGCTCTCTCAGCTCCTGAACAGTGTAAGTCACTGTGAAGAGAAATTAGGATTTACATATGAGGAAATCATCATTTGGTAAGTAGAACTTTCTCTTACTGTGTTCCAAAACCTAGTGAGCTAGTTGCGGACTACATACGGTAGGCAGCTGCCTTCTGAGACGTCATCACAAACATCATGGAGTCTCACAGATGACTGACTTGTGTGTATAATTCTCTCTCTATTGTTTTAGTCTGCGTGTGGCGTTGCTGAATGAGGTGAAGGAGGTTCGGGCTGCGGGTTTGAGAGCACTAAGGTATCTGATCCGTGACAGCAGCGTCCTCCAGACACTTCTTCAGCTGCAGGTGGATTACCTGATCTCCAGGTGAGTTCACACACCTGTTTTGTGTCCTCAGTGTCTTCCGCTTCCATTAGGTTTAAAAGACACTTTATATTCAGGAATAATATCGATTTGACCACCCTTACTGACACTATCATATGAGAGCAAAACTGCAAATGAATTGAGCTGAATGAAGACACCATTGTCTTCTGTAGAGCTGCTTTATAGCCAAATCAAATTAGTTTCATAATTGAGAAATTGTGACATCCACAGTTTTTTTTTAACTGAATTGATTCAACACTGAACTGACTTGAGCTGAATGAAGACGCTACTGGCTTCAGTAGAGCTGTTTATAGAAGAATTAAACTTGTTTCATTGCACTGAATAATGACACCATTGTCGAAAAAGAGTGTATGCGAATAATGGGAGATGGAAAGACATTTACTGATAAATTCCTCTATGCGCATCAAAATAGTCATGTGACTTTGCGTGATGGGACTGCATAACTTGACTAACTGTGTTCCCAAACAGCAGGCATCCACTTCCGAAAGCAATGATTGCGTTTATTTGTGTTTTGTCTGCTCGGTCTGAGGTGCAAGTCATTTATTATCTATGAACATTATTATATTTAGTGGCTTCTCCTACTTTTCTTAGTAATATTTAGTGCCAGTTTATCAGGAAGTGGTGTTTTTGTTCTCTTTAGACTCATAGGATGGAAACAGTGCTTTATTTGCAAATGTTTTATGCAATATTCCAATCTGTGCATTAGTTAAACTCACAACTTTGGATGGAAACATTGCTATTGATTCTGTTATTTTCCTGTTTATTACTAGAAAGCTGCACTGTTAAAGAGCTCTATATAAATAAAAGTGACTTAAGTTCACAAAACAAAGTGATAATGTAGATACACTACTGTCTTTTGTCATATTTCATCATATTTTCAAATATGTGAAATAATTTGCTTGTCTTCAGTGTAAAATTACAATGTGAAAATATTACCATTGGTAAACATTGAGGTACCCTGCTGGGTGAAGGTGACCTTCAGCCTTAGTGCCTTGGTCAGAAAGCCTCAGATGGGAAGTTTGAATGTCTTGCATGTGTTGATTTGTGTTCAGGTGTGTTGACATTCAGCAGAGCAATGAGGTGGAGAGAACTCAAGCCCTCAGGCTGGTCAGAAAGGTACAACCTCTAACAGCACTCTTGCACTCAGTATAACCTGTGGATGTTATTTGTGTTGTTGGGTGAATTTCATCTCAATCTGTTGTTTTCCCTGTTCAGATGATAACAGTGAACGCACAGCTCTTTCCCAGCTCTTTGACAAACTCTCTGATCGCGGTGGGGAACGACGGGCTACAGGAGAGAGATCGCATGGTTCGAGGCTGCATCGCCATCATTTGTGAACTTGGTGAGTTAGTGGCACATTTGTTAAGACAAGCATCACTATTATTATTGCTCACACTTAAGGTTAGTTTTAAGTGTTGGCATGTATCATGCCTCAAATTAGGCTTGCCGCGATAGACGGTGCTGACGGTGATGTTAAGCCGCAACACCGGTTACGTCACTTGCCCACCACGTCACCGACCCCCACCGTCTTTTTGATTTTTTATAGTAATAAAAATCATTTAGTTCAGTAAAATAACAGACACTACAATTAAAAAGTGAACGCGGCTGCTCAATGCAGTTGAACGACGGTTGCATCACGGATCAGATTTCATTTCTCCAGTGAGGAGAGTGAGTCGAGCTGACTGACAAGAAGAGTGGGGTGAGACACACAAGACGATCGCGGATGATTTAGTTTTGAACCGAAATGCAAAAGCGCCTGTTTGGCAATATTTTGGATTTTGAAAATTAACCCTACCTCAAATCATACTGCTCGTTGAGGTGATGTATGCAAATGCATACCTTAGTGAACGAACAGGTGAAAAATATTTTATGGATTACAGATTCTCAATGCCAGTTCTATTACAGATTGATATAGGAGTGATATATATTCTAGGCAATGTTTTGTCAAATTTAGCATTTTATAAAAAATTTTTAATCAAAATAGATTTTTTTTATCAAATGTTAATTTGAAAGATTTGTAATTTTATTTTTAAAGTTTTTAAATGGAACATTATAAGAACTTACATAAATTTCACGAATATCTTTTAAAATAGACTTATTAAAAATATTCTAATTGTTTTTCAGAATTTCTTTTCCATTTATATATATATTTTTTGGATTCTGTGTTTTATGGTTTAGTACAAACTAATGTTTGAATTGCCAGAATTTCTTGAAGTTAAAATAAATCTGTGCAAATGACAATATCTCTTGTCAAATGCTCTGTGGATAAGGTTTTTCTGGACACACAAAGAACATGCAAAACAGACTTTCACTACAGACACAGCCCTGACACAGCAGAGGCACAAATCAAGTGAGTTGCGTATTTATATTTTGGTTTTTATATATAAATATATATATATATACTAGTTCTGTCAAACGATTAATCGTGATTAATCGCATCCAAAATAAGTTTTTGTTTACAT